TTAAATATAGTGCGTGAGGCGTGACTCGAACACCTGACCTCTCACACAAATTCCACACTTTTCTCCATTTGGACTCATCATCTTAATTAGTTATTTCTTTCACATATTATATTTATTGTATAAATATATAACATTAATATACCTAAAACATAATTTAAATGATATTATCACAAGGTGAGTAAATATGTATTGTACTCTTTTTTCTTTGATAGATGTTTTATCCCATTGGATTTTTCTCGCAAGATTTTTAATGAGACAACTTTTATAGTGTATTCAAAATAATAATAATGTATTCTTTTTCCTTCATAAGGATTTTTTCCACGGGAATTTTCGTAATATGATTTTAACGACACATATTCTTTGTGTAATGAATATTCATAACCCCAAAGACATTTACTTTTAAAATAAAATTATGATATGTATGAAACTCTTGAAAAGATCAATAAGAGTTTTTTTTTTTTGAATCATCATGTTACTGCAATCAAGTTTTGTTCAACTGGATTTTCTTGAAAATATTGACGTTCGTGACATAAATATTGAAGACATTAACATATAAGATATGGATAGATTGATATAAGAATTAAAATCATGGTGAACTACTGTACTCTTTTTACTTAGCTCAAGTTTTACCCCATTGAGTTTCTTGACATGGTTTTAATTAAACATATATTTTGTAATATGTCATCTAAGGGGGAGTATTGTAAATATTAAGTTTATTAGTGAATGAAATTGTACCACCGTAATCCTAAAAATTATTATCATTGTATCTATAATCATTCCCTATAAATATGAGACTTTGATTTTCATTATAATACACACAAATCTATTGATTTTTATTTTCTCATCTCTTTCTCTCTTTAATTTATTCTAATTTTATATTTGATAAAACAAATATCTCAAGAATAAAAAACGAATTAGAACAAGTACTTAAATCATAATCGAACACATAAAATCCATTTCGTACTATAAATTATGTCACACTAAAATTTTGATACTTCAAATTTTGATGTGCTAAAAATTTAATCGAGGGAACAATCAATGGAACAATGAGGAAACACCAAACCTAAACTCAGGGTGTGTTTGCT